AGATCGGTAGTCAAGTTACGGCAGGCGTTCATGAGAGTTGTTGGACCGCAACAATAGACAACAGGTCTGTGGCCCTTGTCGTCCGTAGGCTCAGGGATAACTTGGCTGAGAATAAGTCGTTGGCCTTGGCCTTTTGCATAAATGGTGGTCTTGTCGAGTGGTAGGCGACTCAAGTAGGCCGCATCCTTGCGGCTCCGTACAGCGTAGTGGACCTCAACTTCGACCGACTCCCGAGACAGCTTTTCGATCTCACCAAGAAAGGCTGTTACTCCAATACCGCCGATGATGAAGATATGCTTGGACACATTGGTCTCTACCTTTTCGTTCTGTGTTAAAGTAGCATTGTGGCCTGGGGCGACTTTGATGATATCTCCCACATTCAGGTTATCATGGAGATAGATGGATCCACCTCTCGAATTATCATCTCGAGCAATACCAAGTTCAAACCGATTCGTGGTTCCCGATACGACAGAGTAGGCACGAGAGATGTTTCCATTTGGACCAAATTGAATTCGCACAAATGGAAATTGTCCGAATTCCGAGTCCTCATTATGTTCCTGAGATTCAAGGATAAAAGATTTGATCCTTGGAGTCAGCTCCGTTTTGTTTGCCAGCTTGTAAGGTCTCCAGACGACAGGGACTCGATCACCTTCAAGACGGCCACTCATGTCCTCGGTGCCGTGATCAAGTCGGCCCTGAAATATCCCAACCATCTCTTCAGACAGGGCAGGGAGTGATACCAGTTCCCGGAAGATTTCAATGTCATCCTTTTCATGGTAAAGGTACTTCTGGACTCGTGAGAGTGGCCAGGTTGGGTTGATGCGTTTAACGAGCTTCATAGCATCGCCTTGCTCGATAAATCCAGTTTGGAGAACACGGTAGTACCATCCTGTTCGGCCACTGGCCTGCGTCATCGCCGAGATCTTCCTGTGTTGAAAGCGATGATTGAGCTTGTAACACGGCTGTCTCGATCCAGAAACCTGGATGATTACATCCGGTCCTACACGGAATATGTCTCCAATGCAGACGTTGGTCTCAGACATATTCATTGCAGATAGATTCTCTCCAAACCCGCCGATCTTGAAGAGATCCTCTCGACCAGGCAGCTCAGCGTTCCAGACATCGTAGTGACCGGCACAGTACTGATGAAGAGCCTTTTCGGGACCACCGTGATGAATGAACTGCTGCTCATCGCCGACGAGTCCAACAGGGGTCACTTCCCATTTTCCTTGCCGCGCTCGCTTGTTAATGGCGGTGCGGATGTTTACACCGCCGAGCGGGCGGATTTTGCCTGTTCGCAAGCTGAGAAGGGTATCTGTAGGAGGGAGAGGGGCTAGACCTACAGCGGAGCTTTCGGTGGTGAGAGACATGTTGGTAGTGTTTGAATCTGTCTTTTTCCAAGTATGATGATTGGTTTAGGATGCTAGAAGTGAGTCAACTTGGTTGAGTTGAGGTATTTGAGAAAATGTTGTGTGAAGGATCAGCAGGCAGCCATGATCCATCCACTTAACCTGATCAAGCAAGTGTCCCTCAAAAGTTCCCGTATCTTATCGCTAAGAGCAACGACTACCATCCCAATTGCGAGTCAGCAATATCACTATTTCATTCATTATATCATTCACTATCGATGTTACGATCCCACTGATCCACCAGCCCTGAAGGCAGAGGCATGAACACACGTCCTGTCTGCCTGTTTGTTTGTTACATACGTGAAAACCCCGGAGCCCCTCCAATGCCTCTTCTCTCTTTACTAAGCTCATCATCAATCATGAATACTTTCCAGTAAGAAGCCCGGTTTCCTGTTGGGTAGATAGCGAAACCAACATGAGCCTTACTCAATCACAATCCTTTCAAACTCCCTCCCAATGCCAAACATTCTTGACATCTCCTGTCTTCCCTCTAATACTCGTCTAGCTTCTCCACGAAGTTCTGCAGACTCGGCGAGTACCGAAAACAGGCTCGTACAGTTCATCCACCTCTGCTCCATAATCGCAACCGCTTCTTCCTCGTCTCTATAACCTCCTAGCCATTCCTCCGATAACTGAGCAATCTCCTCAAACCCCATCGGCATCAAAAAAATTGTCTCTTTCTTAGCACCTGTGGGGAATAGCTGACTGAAAGTGTTGAAGAGGAACTCGTGCGCTTTCTTCAATGTTCGAAGCTTCGCCTCTATCAACGACCGCTGGGCATCGGCGTCGCCCGTCCATCCTCGACCACAAAAGGAAGCTGAAAAGCGGCCAAGAGTCCTGTGCCAGTGCTGTATTTCCCGGGTGGTCTTTGCAATATCCAGTTCTTGCACCAGCTTCTCAACAGCATCAAAGGCTCCCGAGTTCCAAAAGTTCATGAGATCTGCGAACTCTGACAGTAAGTTGTCCACTAGTGCAGATTGCCGGTTCATCTTCCAGCCAGGGCTTGCTTCTAATTCAAGCCTCCACTCTTGCCTTTCTCCCGAAAATCCTGATACATTTGCACTAGTGAGAACTGAGTGTCTGACAAAGAAGTTCCAGGCGCGGATTTCTTCGTCTTTCAACGAAGAGGAATCAAATTCGTTGGGACCATGCGATTGGCTTCTCAGCTTGATCATACGCCTCCAGTGATAAAGAAATTTGATAATCTCCAGCGTAAGTGGATATAAGACTTCCAAGGTACAGATTCTGTCAAAATCTGGATGGTTGCTGTAAAGATGGTCCTTGCCTATCGGATAAATGATAGCCGAGGCACATGGATAAAGGAGTTCGTATGTGACGCTATCTCCGTCCCGTACATGCTTGTTAGCGAGAAAAGGCATTCTGCAGCCATATATCTTGACCAAAGAAAGGATATCGCTCAAGCCCAGCATACGTTCTGGTTTATCTCGGAACTTTGACATGGGGCCACTAGTGGCAAGGAAAACAGAGTTGTTGAGCATATGATAATTAGTCTCACGATACTGTCCATCCACTGTGCCGTTGTCATCCCCAGACATGAAGCTGGCGTAATATAGAACGGCTATCTCATACCCGGCTGTTATAAGGCAGCCTGTCTCTGCATCTACAGCTTTGAAGCTTTGCGTCGGGCTGAAGTTTCCTGCTGTGCCATGATTCGTCAAGAATGGGATAGTTCTGAATTGCTGAGAGGGAGGGTTCCCTGTCAAGGATGAGAGAATAGGATCCCGATTCGAGCGCACTTTCCAGCCCAGCTCTATCTCACCGAATCGCTCGGACAAGTCGACTGGGCTGTAGGCAGTCTCTTGTAGGTCCCACATGGGAACCCAACTAGGGATGCCGTACTTGGAACGAAGTCTGAGGTTTGTCATCGACTCGGCAAGTTCAATGACATTATGCCAAGTTCTTTGCTGGATGAGGTATAGGGCAGTCCCAATGTATACTTCTCGTGCCATCAGCTTGTAATTTGCCTTCAGTACATTGACTTCATTGCCATCAGCCAGCCCAAGTAGGCCGAATATCTTATCCCGCATATCGCTCATCTTGCAAAGCGCGGTTGCAGACAGGAGCTCCAGAAAATCGCCCTTTGATTGCGCTCCAATCCAGCCAATTTTTGTCAGCCACCAAGGGACCTCGGCTTTATGTAGCTTTGCTTTAATAAACACGTCTCTAGAAATTGGCGTTGTTGAATCGCCGCAGTGAATGGTGATGGATCGGGCGAGTAGGACTTCTTGTACCACCCATAGACGAGAAAAGAACGGTCTTCTTAGGAGTCTTCCGAGGGCCTCCTCGGCGTTGTCTTTGAAGTGTCTTGAGGTCGGGTTGGAAGATTGGAGCTCATCTTTGAGGAGAGTTATTGCCCCATTCTCTCTACCTTCGACGTGATCAGGGTCTTCACCCACGTATCCGTGTACTCCCGTTGCCTGAGAGAATATAGTGCCCATCATGGCAACCTGGTCAGACCTCTCACCAAGGTCAGACTGATTGATACAAATGGCATCCACCCATATCAGCAAAGACTCGGTCTCGCGGCGTAGACGGCTCAGTGCTTGATGGCAATTACGCGTGATGGGTAGAGCTCTGTTACCCAGCCCGATAAAAATGCGCTGGCAGAGGGAAGCATCATTGTTGTCATCTGCCCATGTATACGATAAAGCTTCATAGGCTGGCATTTGCTCTATGTCGACTACCTGGAATCGGCCTTCAAGTGCCTTTTCTCGGGGCGCCGGCAAGAGCTCCAGGAGCCGGATATGGGAGCGCTCTGTCAACTTGGGATAAATGACAGGGAGTATCTGATTTAAGCGGTGAGATTTCAGTACCTGCTACAGGTATCAGAGCTTACCTCCCGCCCGTAAGCATCGCTCACTTCTCCCACTCGATAAGTAACTCCTGTGGCCACTTTTGGGTAATTGGCTTTGACAAGGCACAAAGCCTTTTCGATATCTTGACTGAATGATCCTTGAGAGTATTCGGCACATTCTGGCCATGATAAGCGCTTAATGGGCTCCTTTTGCGTGTCTTGGTTACTCGCAGGCTCTGGGGTTGCACATTCGCCAAGCGAGTCAGGGAAGAATCTGAGAGGGCCAACAGTTCCGCAGGCTTGGCACGTCCAGAGGTCGTTGTCAAATGGAACAGGGTCCATTCGACGGCAATTGGGGTCATGCCATTCCATTCTGATAGCTCTCGATAAGGATGTGTCGGGTTTCAAGGGTTATGATATGTTTGTTCTCAAGCGGGGTTCAGAGGCTTTATGCTGAAATGAGGCTGTGTCACAAGGCAGACAGACAGAGGGACACGCAGTTGGATCAATGGATGCCTCTATACAGGTCAAGCATTGGCTTCACTTCGCTGTCGTGTTTCGTTTCAATGCTCTGGGTTAATTTCCTTCAAGTACCTTCATTTGCGATTTTCTCAAAGTGCTACATAATCAATTTCAAGTGCTAATGCAGTCCTCCACTATCCTATCCCAGTGGCCAGCAAGTCCCTACGTATTACAAAGATGCCATCGACGTGTCCTCCTCCAATTCCAATCCCAATACAAATATACAAAAGTCCGTTCGATCACGTGCAGGCCCGTCACTTCTCAAAGGCATGGACGGCCTTCTTGTTGTTCCGTCTGATGTTGTCCCGCTCCTCCTTTGCAATGCAAGTCTGGCAAATAACAGCGTCGACATACGAAGTGAAGGACACTCCATAGCATCTCCCGACGTAGCAGTTGACCTTTGGGTCGAGGTACGAGCCCGGAGTTCTCAAACCGCAGCTCTCAATTGGGTCTAGAACGGCAGTTGTGTAGCCACATCGACTGCACTCTTCCACGTTTTCTGTCTGGGTGCACATGTTGAATATTGCAGTGATGCGTGGGTTGATTTGAATGCTGACTTGGGAGTGTGCAGTTGCGTTGCGTTGCGTGGTAGAGAGTTTTCTTGAGAGAGAGAGAGACAGAGATAGATAATCGAAAGGTGTCCAGATCAAGTCGAGCATGGGGGGAACTGCTGGACCCGGCCCCCCGATATATAACTCCTTGTCAGCTGGTTCGCAACATGATCAGTGCGAGCGGGATCGGAATTCCTGCCTAGACGAGGCAGACGCAGACGCAGACACGGACGGGAATTGAAAGTGAGGCGGTGTGATTTGCCCATTTTGATTGCACTGTTACACAATCAATCAGTTTTGTTTTCTCTTCTCACAAATGATGGATACATGCAGATACCTCACAAGAAGTCCGAATGTTGTTGCATCACAGGGACGTTGGACGTGACATTTGTGTCAATAATTGATAGGCTTATTGGCAAAATGACCATTGGTGCGGGTTTTATTGATCACCTACAAGGTTGTATTGCCACGCCGCATCAATATATGTCAGTTCTCGTTATCATTTCCAAACAAGGCTGATCTCTGCAAATCCTCACTGTGACATTGCACTTGTCACGCAACGTCTCACAAACTTCCCCTCCCAATTTCCATGCATGCACAACAATGCATGCCTCCTTGTTTTCGCATGCCTATTTCCAAAAGCGTTGCTCTACAGATACGACACTCCACAATCGAAGCAACAAGCCGTTCTTGAGGATATCATGATCTGCCAGATAAACATGTCCCACGCACGGAACGGAACCGGCGGGTGGCAAGTAAATCACCAGGGGTTTAAGCTGCAGCCCTCCCGGTCTGGAACCTGGTTATCGGGCGAGGTGGCTGGCCTCGGTTAGAAGCACGAACCTCAGCGCCTGTTGCCATAGGACTTATCTTGCTCCGACGTGCATGCTTCATGTGGCTGGCCATCATTGTCGAATGACCAAGTTGCTGCGAGTAGCTATATGAGGGGAATGTGCTACCGCATTCAGGACTGAATAGGAAATCCTGTTTAGCGAAGATACATTTGTGCTTCACACCAAAACCGCGCCCTTGATGTTCACAGTGAGTGATTCTCGGGCCTCAATGTATTAACAGAGTAGGAATGAAGTCCGAGAGGTACCTCACGAGAACTGTTTTGGCGTCTTATCGTGTAAGCACGATTTGAAACGACGCAGAAAGCAACCAACAGACTTTCCCCAGCGGTTCACATCATCACATGAGGAATAGGATGGGAGGTTTATGGGCAGTTTAACCCACCGGATTGCCCTTCTTTTGTCTTTGAGACTTCTTTTCAAAAGTACAACCGCAATCAATACACACTCTGGCTCAAGTAAGTACATAAGACATAAGACGAGGCAAATCTTTTCAAGTCGTTCACTGTGTGAGTCCCGTCTGTGTCACATCATTTCCTTCTGCCTCAGGCATATGGGACTCAGTTGTATATGCAGCCCCCAAATGTTGCATGTTTTCTCTCACTCACAAACCCTTGAGTAACCTGCGCGATGTCTAATTCTACCGCTTTCTCCATTGCATATACCGAGGCCCAGCGACGTTTTGACCATCTTGCACAAACAGTGGATGGAGAAACTTGGGAGAAATCAGAAAAGCGGCTTTTCATACAAAGAACCTGTCAAGAGGTTGTGTCTTTTGTCGAGGTTGTTTGCGATCAGACTGCACGCTTGGTCCCTCCAGTCATCCTGGGCAGACACAATGTTATTTATCGAATGCACTGCGATGGAGATGCCTTCGATATTGCTGTTCGGCAACCAAGCCCCGATTTGGGACAGTTCTGGGACGAAAAGGCTCTCTATGAAGCTACAACCATATCTTACCTCGCTCAAAAGAGTGATGTACAAGTTCCGTACCTCTTCTTTCACGCTCCGTCATCATTTATCGGACCGGCTATGATCTTATTATTCGTGAAAAGCGAGCGGAGCATGTCAGACGCTCTCTCGAGCCCTGGCCGGGATCTGGAGGGGGTGCCAATTCTGGACCCAGAGATACCTGAAGAGGATCTGAGGATGCTTTACGGGAAGATGGCTGGGCTTCTGATCAAGCTCTTCAAGCCAACCCGGCATAGGATCGGGTCATTGCTCGAAGTTAATGACAAGCTTTCAGTGGCTGGTCGACCGATCACCCAAAATATGTACGACATGGTATTCAAGGCTTCTATTCCAGAATCAGTTCTTCCCTCATCGAACCAGGTGTATCGCAGTGCCGATGGATGGTACGCCGCTTCGGCAGCTATGCACATGGCTCAGTTACTTTTCCAGGTTCACGATATTGTTGACTCGGAGGATGAATGCCGAAACAAGTATGTTGCACGATACTTGTTTCATTCACTCGCAAAGAATGGTCATCTATCTTCTTTTGGATTTTTTGAGGATAATTGGTCAGCCCAGTCTCAGTCTTTGGAATTATCGTGCTCAATGCCATATGGATTTGACTCTTTTCGGCTTTGGTGCGACGAGCTGAGGCCCCATAACGTTCTTTTGAACAAGCACGACAATATCGCGGCAGCTCTTGACTGGGAGTTCGCATATTTCGCCCCTACACAATTCAGCCTCGATCCGCCCTGGTGGTTATTGCTGCAGCCTCCAGAGCTGTGGATGTCTGGAATCGATGATTGGTCCCAAGTCTACGAAGCCAGACTCGGGACCTGGCTACTTTCAATGGAAGATCAGGAACGGGGAGAGGAAATCAACTTCCCGGCACACCTTTCAACATATATGCGGGAGAGCTGGTTGAGTGGTCGCTTCTGGCTTACTTATGCTACGAGAAAGAGTTGGGCATTCGATACAATATTCTGGAAGTACTTGGATGAGAGGTTCTTTGGGTCAAGAAATGACGATACACAAGAATCTCAGTTCTGGAGGGCAAGGGTTCATCTTCTAGGGGAGGAGGCACAAAGGGTTATGGAAATGGTCGTGGAAAGAAAGATGAATGACGCAGAAGAGAGAGTCCTAGCTGATTGGGATCCGGATACAGCGAACCAACTTCTCCAAGAGGCATTGGGGCATTATTCAAGTTCGTAGTTGTAAAAGCGAAGTCCTTTCAGTGCAACCATACATACATGTTTGACGAAGCGTCTCATCCTTTCGCATCCCACATTGGCGTCACTACTGAAGTCGTAAGATACGTCGGGAATCACCACTTGAATTATCTACTATTAATCAGCAGATCCAATTCTTCAGTGAAGCGGACCACTGATGGGAGGCCTAGAATCCTCCGATTGCGGGTTTAATCAATTGCCAATTCGTCTAACTGATTGCGCCATACATCTGAAATGGCCTCATCACTATCAGTACTTACTGGAATACTACCACTGTAACTTCTTATCTTCTCTTATAAAACGCAAGGAAACTCTGCCTTTCTTTTCAATCGTCAAAGTCATCTTGGTCGCTAACTTAAACTCATTGCTCGTCTACATATGTCTACTCGCCACTATGGCTGTTAAGAACACTACAAATGGCAATGGTAATGTCAATATCAGAGCTGCCATTATTGGTGGAGGCCCAGGTGGCTTAGGTGCCGCGATTGCCCTTGCCAAGTTATCTTTCGTTGACTGGACTCTGTATGAGAAGAAGCCCGAGATCAGTGAGACAGGTGGCGGTATCAGTCTTCAACTGCATACATGGAAGATGCTTGAATGGAACGGGGCATCCAAGAACATTAAGCCCAGTGACCTGTTCAGGTCTCCTGACGGTATCAGTGGACAACAGCGGTATGTCATTTTGTAAGTGGTCAGGGGACTTCAACGCTGACTGTACCAGCAATGGGCGAACGGGTGAGCTTATTGAGCAAAGCTATCATCCCGAAGATACACCCATTCACCAACGCAGTGGCCGTCAGAGGAGGGCGAAGCTACAAGCAGCTCTTCTCAAAGAGGTCAATGAGTCCAAAATAAAGCTCTCCAAGAAGCTCGTGGGCATTGAAAAACTGCAAAGTGGCAGAGTAATCATCCGATTTGAGGATGGCTTTACGGATGAGGTTGACCTCTTGATTGCTGCAGATGGCATAAGATCGGTACGTAAAGCAATCTGTGAATCAATAGCAAAAGCCTAATACCATCTAGGTCGTCCGGTCGTTTACTTTTCCTTCGCACAAAATCAAATACAATGGACAGTCCGCATATCGCACCATCATCAGCAAGTCTGAAGTTAATGCTCTTGGCACAATCCCCCAAGCATCAACATTCTGGCAGAATCTAGGTGGTAGATACGTATTTACTAGTCCGCTTGGAGACGACGACTTTGAAGTCACAGCGCGTATCTCTCGGCCGTCAGAAGGTCAAGACCACGTCAGTTGGGGTCGACCATTTGACTTCAGCACACTTGTCCACGAGTACGATGGGTTCTGTGAGCCCGTTCGCCAAGTTGTTCGACTAGCAGCAAAGGGGGAGACTCAAGAATTTGCTCTGTTCTCTGGGCCGCGACTGGATCGAGTAGTAGCTCTTGATTCTATAGCCCTGATCGGAGATGCTTCGCATCCCTTGTCGGGAGCCTTTGGAGCGGGAGCAGGATTTGCCCTTGAGGATGCGTATACACTATCCAAAACCCTCGAGTGGGCTTGGACTCGAGGTGGAGGTATCAAGGCTGCACTGGAGTTGTACGACCGCATCAGGTCGCCACATTACCATGATCTATATAATGTCCTGGACTGGTATGCAGGTATTGGCAAGGAGATTGCGGCAGAAGGGCTATCCGTAGACGAAGAAATTGAAGCAAAGGTGAGAAGAACGAAGGGCAAGAAATCGAACTGGATGTATTACTACGACATCCAGGCTGTCGTCGATAATATTCTTGACAGCTTGGATAGCAAGGAAAAGTGAGCGACTTGGTAGCGACATTCAGTTCCCCAACAAATCTTTACATACAAACATCACATTGCGCATTATCAATACCTTACCGTATAATATCTTCAAATGTTGCAAGAACAGAAAATGTTGAGGCTCGTCTTTTCTGCGTCACAAGAACGGTCGCTGTCACGCCCGCAAGTCACAAGGCCTCTGTGACCGGCTGCACCGGACACGACAGAAAAGCGTTCAATTACCACGATGCAAGGCTGGCGGGGATCAATTGCCGGGGATCCTCTAAGGGCATGGGAGATTATTGTCCAAGTCCAGCCAG